ACGCGGCCAAGCTGTCCTGGTGTAAAGGAGACGCACGCCGGGGTGGGGGCCCAGCGCCCGCTGTAACGTGCCAGGTGGGGTCTGCTCTGCCGCCCCCGTGCGTCGCGGCGCCACAGTGGGCAGGCGCCGCTGGCAACGGGGGCGGGCCGTGCCTGCTCTTGAGCAAAAATGCCAAACGCAACACTATGTATCACAAAGCAAGCTTGAAATCACAGTCAGCAATGAAACACACACACTCACATGCACACATATACACACATATATATATAAATACATGTATATATATACATGTATATATATGTGTATGTGTTTACACACACACACACACCACCACCACCACCAACACCACCACAAGCAGGCAAGCATTTCAACATACGCCCGAGCCCCCGCCCACCGCGACTCCTTGGTGCGCGGCCTGTGGAACCCTGCCGTGTCCAGGCCCATCATGCTCAAGCTGCCTGCGGTTTTGCGGTTCTTGGCTGGCGGCGCAAACTCCAACTCGAGCTCGGCCGCCTCAGCCTCGCGCGTCCTGAAAGCGCAAGGGAAGGGGCGGATGTGGGGGGCAAGTGAGGTGGTGGGGGTGGGGGAGAGCAACGCAAGATTGAGGGGGGAGTGGTCCGAGGGGGGAGGGCATAGACTAGGAGACGCGGGCGAGCGGGTGGATGAAAAGGAGTGTGCACGTGTGCCGTCATCATCACAACACCACATCACCTTACAGGCAATGCACGCGCCACGCTCTGACCATGTGGCACGCCTCCAGCATGCCCCTGCTTGCAGCTCTGCCCACCCAGCCTTCCGTTCCATCGCCGACCCACTTGCTGCGCTCCTTGCGCGTCGTGAGGGCCTGGGCGGCGCGTGCTGCACCCTGTCCCCCATCTTGTGCAGGTTGCGCCCCGCGAGCATCTCCGGCTCGCCCGTGGGCTGTGAGCACTGCGCTTCACATCGCCGGTGGACATGAGGCTCGAGTTCTGGAGGCAGGAGCAGGGCGATGGTGTGCGTTGCCTCGTGTGGCGAAGCAGCAGCACCAGGCGCAGCCCGGCTGCGGACAACCGCAATGCTTTCAGCAGTCGGACCCCGAGCGCCGTGCTTGAAGAAAATCATGGTGCAAGTAGCACATGCCACACGCTGATGTGGGCCATCAGCGGCCCGCCAGGCATTTTGCACTGAACCGTTTTCTCAGCGGTCATTACGCTTGCAAACTTTTGTAGCGTCTTACCTGCAGCTACAGCATTGAAGCCTCCACCGACACTTAGGCCCGCCAGGCTCATTGCTGGGGAGTGATCTCGCCCCTTCACGCACCCAGCAGCCCAGCTGTGACGGCAAGTTCGTCGCAATGAATGCTTACCGCACGATAGTCGTACTGCTTGAAGCGGGCGTGCCCCTCGGCACCCGCCCCAAACTCCTAGCGGGCCCCCTTGTCCGTGGCCCTCGCCGGGCCATGATTGGACTTTCAGCTCATATGTAAGGCGTGTTTCGCAAGAGTGTGACTTGGAGAGGGAGCCGTGGTCAAGCCAAATCGCAATCGACTCTTGTTTGTAAGCATTACTAAGCGAAAGCGCTTAGTAATGTGGAAATGGAGCGGCATGTGTGCACTGGCGACGTATAATCACGACGTTGAACCCTAACGTCTCCTAAAAACCGTGTGTAACCACCAGCAAAGCCTGCTGGAGGCCACTGCTGCTGTGCACGCTGTGCTGCTGCGGTGTACATGTGTTGCAGTCGAGGGATTGTAAGCCGCTTCCTTGGCCTTTGCTGAGGTTATGCTTGACTATGTGTTCCTCGCACTCACCGCATAAAATCGCTTCAAGATGCCTGTGATGCGTCGCCAGCTCAGCTCGCAAGTTGAAGCGCAATAAACGGCCTGGCTGCTAATCATTTCGCCTTTGAAGGGTTACTGCTGCTGCTTGCAGCCAGCTGCTCTCGCAAGCTCGCGACATGGAACTTGCCATAAAAGGCATTCGGCCGCAATATCACTCGTGCCACCTGTTGACCATGCTGAGCAGCGTGCCGCAGCTGCCCCTGCAGTCCAGGCCATCTGGCACCACCCCGCAGCGCGAGCCTCGCTTGTGCACTCTATTCTTATGCATCTTGATAACGAGCGCACCCCTGACCAAGCAAACGGGCTCCTGAGCTGATGAGAGGGCAGCAGCCTGCCAGCTAAGGCGAAAGTGCCGGCCGCAAAGGACAGTGATGATTAGCATTTGAACATAAGTGTAGTTACATGCGTATCATTTTCATGCTCTCGGCGAGCGCGTTTGGCAAGCAGCCACGCGTCGAGGTTGGCGAGTGACATGTGCATAACGCTCAGCGAGGCTCGCGCCAAAATAAACTGCCCCTCTTCATTGCCGCCCCTCTTCGATCGTTGTATACTTCAGTGAATTAAATTGCGTATACCATACCCGATAGCAACACGACTTTCCTTCCTTCATCCCCCCAAGAATATCGCACAACGCACAGCAGCGGTCCCGAGCTGTGCCAACGCGTCAACAGGAGAAAGCTCTCGTACAAGGGTGCGTTTATGCGGCCGTTATGCGCCTGGGTCGGTCTGTGGGCGTGCCAGCAGTGCTGTGCTGGCGTCTCCCTCCATCCCCGACCTGCAGCATGGCCTCGCTCTCACCACTGCTCCTGTTCCTGCACCACCGTGTGTACAGGCACACCGTCATCATGGCCTTACATCACTGGTTTCTTGCTGGCGGTGAGGGGGGGGGGGTGGAGGCCGGGCCCCCCACCAGAGGCGTGGTCGAACTTTGCTCGCCTGGCAGGCGGAAAAGCAGTGCGCGGCATGACCCACGGTGCACGCCGCACAACGGCCTGTGTGCTGCACTGCTGGCGCCCTAACGGCTTAACCTCCCAATCCTCTTACTGCAAGCTGCTCGCTCGGCCTCAACCTGCACCCACCCACACACACCCTGCCTTGTTCCCTTGCCCTGCAGTCATGCTCCTGCTCCTCACCCCGGGCACCCCAGCTGCTTCCCTCAAGGCCGGCGGCCTGACCGCCCCTGTCCGCCGCGCCCTGAGCAAGCGGGCCACCACAATGTCCGAGCCGCGCGCCGCCGACGCCTCCACGCGCAACATGGCGGGCCCGGCCCCTTTGGAGCGCTACACCCCCGCCCAGCCCAGCAGTGCGTCACACCGCGATGACGCCGACATGAGCCCCCAGGGTGTGGCCTTTGGGGGCGCGGGCTCGACCGTCGCCGCCACCGCTGCCACCGGCCAAGCCGGCGATGGCGGCACCTCTGCATCGCCCGGACGGGGCTGGTGGCCCCGCATCCTAGGGGAGCGAGCGGCTGCGGCCCAGAGCGCTATCATGGCCATAGCCGGCCGCGGCCGCACCTCCTACAGCTCCGCCCCGGCCAGTCCCCCCCCCTGTCACCAGCGCTGCCACCGCGCTGCCCATCGACAACACCAACACCATTGCCCCCTAGCAGGGCAGCACAGGCCAATCACAACACGCGAGGGCAGCAGCGCTGCCGCCGGCCACTGCCCTCTGCTTTTTGTGTGATGGTGTGTACTCGCGCAAGGTTTTGGCGCCTCGCCTTGCCCCTTTTTGAGCGCAAGCGCTGCTGTCCAAGCAGCCTTGCCTCCCTTGCCGCACGATCCACCAACTGTGCGCACAAAACCCAAAGCGAGATACATGCGAGACGCATGCCGACCTGTTGATCAAAGAACGCGCGCTCTCCTAGGAACAAACCACTGCCGCACACATACACATCTGGCGCTATATCACCACATGTGCTGTGTGTTTGCTGTGCAATGCGCAGTTTCATGCTGCTGCACACATGCTCGTTGACTTTTACGTACCATGCGTGTGGCTGCTCGCAGCGCCCACCTGGCCTGCAACGAATGCACCACCTGCCTGGCTACCTGCGCAAAGTGCACGCCCACCAGCACGCTGCTGCGATGCTTTCCAACGCATGCCCCCCCCTTTTTGTTGCTTAGGATTCTCAGGACGTCTTGTATCCTTTGTTCTTCACGTGGAGGTCCCCCCACCGGCCTCACTGCACATGTGGGGCCGCCGATGCCTTTGCCGCTGCAAGACGGCACGTCGGAGCGTGTGAAGTTTTCAGGGCGATTGAGCCTAGGCCCACTGGCGGGGCATGGGCACGCAGTATGCCTGAGCCCTCGCGCTTGCAATTGCGAGTCGTGCCCGACCAGGTGACATACGTTTGCAAAGCTAACGAGCCCGTCGGCGAAGTTACGTGCTGGCAAACCTTCGCGCATCGCCCCTTTGGCGCGCCGGCTAGCGCCACCAGGTCGCGCCGTCAGGCGCGTAGGCGTAGAGGACGGACAGCTGCCAAACCCAACAGAAGGACAGGCAGGGTACAGGATGCCCGATACGCCCGCTTGACCAAGAGGCTGAAAACCAATCGAGTGTTGCTTGCTTTGGTGCCGTGCGTGCAGGTGGCATTGCAGTCCTGGCAATACTTTCTTGGACCATACCGTACCATTGAAGTACCATTCTTGTACAATTATCATGAGCCTGGGTATCATCAGCGGGCGACCGCGGGATCCTGTAACCTTTTTCTGTCAAACCGACAAAATGAAAACCTCCACCGACAGGAAGTGTGATTGCACTGCAACTGCCAGGACGCATGAAGAGAGCAGAGCGCCATAGTGCTGATGGCCCCAGAGCACTACACTCAAGCAAGCACCGCATCGTCACTCGACCCACGCAGATTTCACCCGGCACCTCTTTCTGCTGACTAGGTCTTGCTTGTTACACGCACTGGGTCTCGCGCCCCCCAGGCTACCCTGCGTTGAGCGGGAGCTTCACCCCTGGCGGCCTTGCCCTCGGGGGCGGCCACAACGGCGGGCTCTGCGGACATTAAAAGTATGGCGACACCTCGGTGACTCACAAATATGAAGCAGCTGGCCCCTCCCACGAGCCCGCGCGCAAAGCAAGTGTAAGGGAGTTCAAGGGAATATCGTTTGGAAGCGCATTGCCCACGTGTCCCTGCGACTCCTCATCCAGAACGGGCGTCCGCCACCCGTCCGCCGCTTCACCAGCCGTCCTCGTCCATCGCCGCGTCGTCCTGCTGCCCCAGCGGCACGTACTTGGCGCCGTGGCGCTCGTTGTACTGCTCGTACCGCTCTATTTCCGCTGGCGTCACACTGGCACGCTGGGCCTGTGGTGGTGGGGGGGTGAAGCACGCGGGTCTGGCGATGTGCATGTGCTTGTGAGAGCGTCCCAGCGGGGGGTCAACAGGCGGGAGGGGTCGCAGCATTGGAAACGCAGTGATCTCACAGGGCCTCAAGCAGATCAGGGGCGCCCTTGAGTGGTGGGAAAGCGCTCAGTCAGACTCTGTTGCGAATCTCCCTCTGGGGTCGAGATGCACGCTTCATCAACTGCTCACTCCCGTCCCCTCGCTTCACACCTGCCATGCGAGGCACACACATGCGCTTGCAGACAGTTGCCTGGTGTGCGCAGTCACGCATGCCCCCACCTTCGACGCCGCCTGGAAGTCGCGCAGGCGCACCGGCCGCAGGTCCTCCCCCCGCAGCTGCGCCACGCGCTCCCCGCCAGCCGCTACCACGGCCTCGCGCACCGGGCCCTGGCACGCCTCCTGGATTAAATTGCGCATGTCGCTGCCCGAGTAGCCCTTGAGGGAGGCAGCAGGGCAAGGAAAGAGGAGAAGAGGGCAATCCAGGGGGGCGAGGATGTGGTTGGCTGGGTGGGGTATGCAGCTGTGTAGGGTGTTTGGGGGCGGTAGGCAGCTGTGCTGTGGGTGAGGTGGCTGTCATGTTACCACATCATGGGGCTGGCGTAGCCAGTGTGATTTGCTCGCCTGCGGCCCGTGCCAGCTCGGCCCGCCTGGCGCACCCTGCAGCCATCCGTCCGCCCCTTCTTCACTGCGCGGTTCAACACATCCCTGCGCACGAGCATTCCCCCAGGCCTCCGCCCGTCCCGACCAGCGGCCCCCCGCCGCTGGGCCGGCCAAGGGTAAGCGCTGGCCGCGCCGGCCCCCTCCCCCTCTCACGTCTGTCTTTGCGACCACCTTCGCCAGGTCCTCCCCGCTGAGCTGCGCCTCCACGCTGCAGCCCGGCCCCAGCTGCCGCAGCACCATCTGGCGGCGCGCCTCGCCGCAGGGGAGCGGGATGTACAGCTGCTTGGGCATGCGGCGCCGCGCGGCCTCATCCAACTCCTGGGGGGTGGAGGTGAGAGGGGGGGGATGCAGGTGCCGCCGTGTTTTCCTGGAGGGTGGGGTTGCTCTGCAGTTGGAAATCCCAGGCTGGGGTGATGATGATGTGGGTATCGCGGGATTGAGCTGGTGGGTGGGGAAAATTGTTGACTCTGTGGTTGGTGCTGGTCATGCTAGGAAGGGGCATGGTGCTGCAACCACAGCGAGCAGTGCTGTCGACATGAGTCCCCTGCTGCAACAGGGCCCGCTCAGTAGCGTCTTGCCGCCCGCGAGCTTCGCCCAGGGAGGCGCCTGGCCCCGGCCCTACGGTCCGGCCACACGGGGCCCAGGCTCACCTCGGGCCTGTTGGTCGTGCCGATGAGCAGCACGCGGCGGCTGGTGCTGGAGGGATCGCAACCCTCCATCTGCACCAGCATCTCAGTCTTAAGGCGCCGGCTGGCCTCGTGCTCGCCTGGCCGGGCGGCGGGCGGCGCGGCGGGGTGTCGCTCGCTTAGGGGCTTGCAGGTCTGCCTGGGATAAACCCAGAAAAAGCGCCATCGAGCCTGTGCTGGATCCCGCCTTTGCTGGCTGGACCAAAACAAGTTCCAGCATTTGAAACCAGAACCCATCAGCCTGCACTGCAGTCATCGTTTACGGCATGCCGAGGTGCGTTGCGCCAAACCGTCCCTACAGAGGCGAAAGAGCAGAGCCAAGGGGCAAGGACACCGTCACACATTGATCATCAACGCCCCCGCACACACCCCGCACTCCCACCCACCGTCGCTCTTGCGGGCGCTCATGAGCGAATCGATCTCGTCAATGAAGATCACAGACGGCTGCATCACGCCCGCCACTGCGAACAGCGTGCGCACCTGCGGCGGTCGGCGGGGCGCCGGAGCTGGGCGCGCGCGGGCTGACGCCGGCGCCGACATGCGTCTGCTGAAAGCCTCCAGTCACTTGGCACCATAGGTGTGTGCCGAGCGACAGGCACACATCACATGTTGCTATTGTGGCCAACCACACTCGCAACGCAGGAGGGATTTCTGCATGCTGGCAATCACCATGTTCCTTTTACATTTCTGCACCCCCTCCCAACGCGCCGAGCGCACCATCTTCTCGCCCTCCCCGATCCATTTGCTGGTGAGGCTGCTGGCGCTGATGGAGAAGAAGGCCGCGCTGATGTTGGAGGCCACCGCCTTGCCGATGAGCGTCTTGCCGGTGCCGGGGGGGCCGAACAGCAGCAGGCCCTTGGGCGGCGCGCGGGGGCCCTGCTCGACGGGAGCGGGCGCGGCGCGACTGGTGAGTGTTTCTGGGGCGACATGATTTCACACGGGTTGTATTGCTGGTGTCATGCGACCTGCTGATGCGCATTTCGCTGATCAAAGTTGCGAAGAACGGAACCAGCAAGGGCGGGTGCGCGTCCAGGACTTCTCACCGTGAAGATGGTGGGGTTGAGCATGGGCCAAACCACGATCTCCCGGATCAGGTCCTTGGCTGTCTGCAGCCCAGCAATGTCGTCCCACGATATGGCCCCGCCCGCGTCGATGACGTCATTGCACACCTGGGATCAGGTTGAGGGTGCAACGAGGGTGGCGTGACCCGGGGGCAGTGTGAGACTGCTAATGGCTTGTCGAAGCTTCAGTCATCAGACCAATTATCCTCTGAAAAGGCTTTGCTGGCAGAATTGCTTTGATATCAGGAATCCTGCAAGTCTCCTGAAATGCCCCGGGGCCCCCAGAACTGAAACCTCAAACCTGCTCTATCAGCTTGGGGTCACACTTCTGCAGCTCTGGCGGCAGCTCCCCATTCTCAGCTGCAGCAGCAATGCAATTAGAAACGGGAGCGGAGCGGAACAGGGCTTGTGATCCTTGTCAGTCATGATCAGCGTGCATGAAGGCACCACTGTGCCTGCTGCTCGGCCCCCCAAGGTCGCACGCCTTTTGCACCGCTCTTCCCTGTGCCACCCTCCATCCCAGCCTGCTTGGCCCTCACCTCCAAGCATCTGCAGTGTCCGCGCCGACAGCGGCCCCTCCTCGCCCCCCTGGCCGCCGCCGCCGCCGCCCCCCTGCCCATTGGCGTCGAGCGCCTTGGCCACAAAAGGCGGCACGAAGCCCTTGCCAGCGCTGGCAGAGGCGCCAGCGGAGGCGCCGCCCCGGCCACGAGGACGTGTGAGGCCCGTCCTTGGGCACGGACCCTGGAGGCAGTGATTGATCGCTTGCATATCTTTCAAGGCAGCATCCGCTTCATAGGGGCGGCTGGCCAGCCGAGGCATCGGTGAGTGCAGAAACGGTCAGGGACACACTGTTGGTTGAAAGAAAAAGTTGTAAATGAGTCCAAGCAACTGACCAGCACGCCATAAGCCCAGGCACCCACATTCATGACAGCCGCCGCCGCCTGGTGCTGGCCTTTCTTGCGCAGGTCAGAGGCGTACTGGTGACGCGCCGTGGTGAACGCCCCAGGGCCCTGCGCGCCCTCCTGCTCCTGGCCACCTCCCCCGGCCCCCGCCCCGCCGCCAGCGACGGCGCCGCCCGCGGCGCGCGGCGGGTGCGGCTGCTGCCACGATCTCTGCTGCTGCGCCGCTTGCCGCGGGTTCCAGCCGCTAGGCCCGCTCTGCAGCTTTCCTGGGGGTCCAGGTTGGTCGTCCTCCTCAATTTCATCAGGGCCCGCTTGAAACTGCTGCGGCTGCTGCTGCTGGCCCCAGCCGCCATGCGGCCGCTGCGGCGGGCGTTGCTGTTGTTGCTGCTGCTGCTGCCAGCCCTGTGCAGGCTGCTGCTGGCTCCAGCCGCCTGCGCCACTGGTGTGCTGCTTTGGAACACCATCCGCATCGCGCTTGCGGTCCTGACAGATCAAAAGCAAAAGGGCAGTTGTCAACACACAGGGATTTCGACATTGAACTTGCCTCAATGACAGCAATGCCGTATGCACTGTGCTGCAGGCCTGGCTCGGATCCTGTCCTGCAGCAGCACCCACCTGCTGCTGCGCCGGCGCGCCAGGCATTGGGAGGAGGGGCGCCCTGCCGCCGCCGCTGCGAAATGCCCCATCCGGCGCGGCCAGGCTGCCGCCGGCACGGTGTGGCTTGTGGAAGTGCTGGTGTTGGTGGTTCTCCTGCTGCTGCTGTTGCTGCTGCTGCTGCTGCTGCTGCTGTTGCGGCTGCGCCTGTGCCAGGTTGCCACATTGCGGCATAGCAGCAAGCCGCTGCTGCAGCAGCTTTGAGGCCTGTTGAGGTGAGTGTGTGCATGCACAAATTAACGAAGCACTTCCAGCAGGCCGATGCCACTAGTGCCTGCACGGCATGCGTTTCCAGAACGGCCCCAAGCACTGCGTGCACATGCGTGCTGCCTGATCAAGTGGCAGGCACGTGCGCCGCGCGCATCCTGCGCCGGCTGTGCAGCACCCACCTGCTGCACCATCTGCCGCAGGCGCCGCGCCTGGTCGAGGTGGTCTCCCCATGCCGCATCCTGCTGCAGCGCGTCTGCCACTGAAGGCGCCTGCATGGGGTGCACATGAACACAGTCATGACGATGCATGCATGCGCGCGCCTTGCTTGCCCCCGCCATGATGACGAGTAGCCGCGTTGTGCTGTCCAGTCGCCGGAGTTAGCGGGCCTGATGAGCACCCAGGTGTGTGCGCACCGCTGCTTGTACAGTCAGGCCATCTGAACAGCCGACCGCAGCCGCGGCGGCGCTGAGACATGATGCCCTGCGTGAGAGGCAGGTGCCTGAGATGAAGCCGCGCACTCTATCAATGGCACACCTGTCATTTTTCAAATTTGCGATCACATGTTGCAGGGCAGCTGTCACCGCGGTAGCAAGCACCATACACGCATTGTCTCGACATCGGCATACCTGTCTTCTGCTGCCTCCGCTGTTGCATCTGCCTGTGAGAGCAGGTCGGAGCACTGCTGCTGCACCACCCCCAGCAGCGGCGCAGTCCCGGGGTCGCCTGCCGCCTCTGCGCTCAAGCACGCCCCAAGTTGGAGCGCGTACAATTCTACGAGAAGGCCCCTGCCCTCCTGAAGGGCCTGATGCGCCCCGTTTTGCAGGTGTCGAGCCAGTCCTTGCATCGCTGCGCTCTCAAGTAGCTGATATGCGTGAGTGTGTGTAAAAAGTTATGTACTAATGTGAGTGATGGTACGGCTTGAGCTGCAATTGCAGTTCAGCCTGGATGAACTCTTGATCAGCTGATGATCCATCCAAACAGGATCTCTCGTCACAGCAACAGGTAGGGCCGCAGGCCCAGTGGCATCTTGGCAACCTCTGCAATGAACAACCGGTAGCCGCTCAACACACGCTTTGATAGGGCCCGCCCCTTCAGCCATCTTCTCACGGGCAGCCGTCGACTCGCACAGGAACCTGGTGAGAAGCTGGAGGCCAGCATGCAGGCCTCGCCGCTGCGGGCAGCGGCGGCATCGACCGCCTCGCGTGGCTCCCGGCTTATCCCGTAGCAAGTGCACGTCGCTGGTTCTATGGTGCATCATGTTTAGGTGCGGGCCCATCATCGGCTCGGCACGTCGCCAGCACCGACGGCATTAACGTGCCGAGAGAGGGCCTGCAAGTCAGTGCGTCAGACAGCTGCTGCTGGAGTTCACTCCATGCGCCGGGCACAAGGCACACCAGCAGCTCAGCGGCGCCACCGGCGTGGCCGGGCATGGGGCAGATGGCGGCTTGCAGTGGCCTAGATCTATCGCACCCGACGTGCTGCGCATGGCAAGGCCCAGCCTGGATCGGCGGTGGCGACTTTCAGCACAAGCGCTGCTGCGCTGGCGGCGACTGCCTTTGTTGGTCCATCGCTGCATGCGGGGACCAGCAGCACTGAGCAGCCGGCTGCAAGGTCAGCTGCCGAGTTCACCCCCTGATGCCGCGACCGTTGAGTGCTGTCCCATCCCATCCGTGCTGTGCATTTGCAGGAGCAGCTGCCACGCCAAGGGTGAGAATCAGCCGCCTTCATGTCTGCATTTGCCCTTCTGCATGCGCATGCAGTATCCGTACGCGCATGTACACGTCTGCACTTGTTGCAGCCATGAGGGCAAACACCAGCCGCAGCAGCTGCTGAGCAGCAGGCGTGCGCATGGGAAAGCCGGAACGCACAATTCCCTGCGCCAAGCACCCCTCCGGCAACGTAGTTTGTGTGCCGTTAGTTACTGGTACCGAAACACAGTAATCAGTTACAGGCAGTACGCACCCCCTGCAAAGATCGGATTATAGAGCTGTGTTTGCTTGTTTTGCCTCCTCAGACGCAGCGCATTGCCACGATGGATGAGGCGCCAGTCCAACTAGAAGGAACAACACTTGTGGTTCCCGTCGTTGTGATGAAGCTGAGGGCGCAGCGCTGGAAGTTAGCATGTGGTAGCCAATCCACTTGTGTTCGTGTGCTGAGCCTATCGTCCTGATGCTGGCCAGCGTGGCGTTTTATCATAAAGCGGGAGCTGCTGCGGAACCACCGGGCAGCACAGCTACTGTACCAACAAAATTCGACTGGATCCACTCTGTATGAGATGAAACCTTGTGAAATCGTCCCTGACTGCATCCTGTTGCCTCTCTGCAACAACATTCATCGTATGCAAAAATGACATTGCTTGAAACCTGTACGAGCCGATGTTGTATGTTGACCATGCATCAGTTGATGTTGACCTGCATGTCCATGTGGCACCACCGCCGGGGCGGTGGCGACGTGAGCCGCTGGGCGGACGCCGCTGCCCGGTGCCCGGCGTATATCTATTGCACCCTCCTTCTTTGTAAGGGCTGCTTGAGGCAGGCACCTCGCGCCCGGTGATGCTGTGCAAGTCGAGCATCGATACTCGCTCGGCACTCATGATACAAACCCGATTTGTCAAGTGATGCACCTATTTCTCCGACTCGCATGCAATCCCCTCATACGCGGTCTAGTTTTGAGGGGGCAAGCTCCCAACACCACCGTGGAGTAGTCCTTGGCCTCTCCGTAGCCGCTGGCCTAGTTCGCTGGTCGCACCAGTGGACTAGGCTGGCGAGGCAAGGGACAGCTCTGCTAGCCAGCGGGGCGAGGCAACCACTCCACCTGAGCAGCAACCATCAGCAATGAGCACCGCCACATCGATCCATACCGCGGGCTCGCGGGTATGGCTGAAAGATGACGCCGAAGGATGGGTGAAGGGCGAGGTGGTCCGCCTGGATGGCTCAAACATCGTGGTTTCGCTTGAGGGCAGCGGGGCCCAGCGCACAGTGCCCCAGTCGGAGGCGCCCCTGCAGAACAACGACACTCGGGGCGTTGAGGTAGGTCGCTACAGGCAGTGCAGGGCAATCGATGCAGCGTGTTGGCGGTGCTGGTGTCGACCGAGGCGCGCATTCGGTCGCGCGTGCGCGATTGCGCTGCGCATCCCGGTCATGCCCCTTGGCGCACATTTTGCGCAACAACATTGCGGACGCTGCAGCACATTGAGAGCAGGCATATCGTCAGTGCCTGGTGCGGTTGCGGATGCAGTGGTGAAGCCACCCACGTGCCTGTGTCAGAAATCGTCGTGCCAAGCAGCCGCATGGCCCCCACCGCCCAGGACATGACGGCCCTGTCGTACCTGCATGAGCCCGGCGTGCTGTGGAACCTGCGGCAGCGGTTCCAGTTTGACGAGATCTACACCTACACGGGCAGCATCCTGATCGCGGTCAACCCGTTTGCGGCGCTGCCGCACCTGTATGGCACGCACATGATGGACCAGTACCGGTGCGCACCGCAGGCCCTGCCGAAGAGCGCGCTGAGCAGCTGCTCCGCTGCTGCCGAGCTGCAGCCGGCGGTTGGCGACGACGGCAGCCGTCGCCCGCGACACTGCCGCTCCTCTCGCTGCGACCTGCGCCACGCAGCAC